TATTACTCCTGATACATAGGTTCTAGGTGTACAATAGGTACTGGCACTCATTTAATGACCAAGTTCCAGTCCTGTGACCAGCTTGTTAGCAGAACTAGTCAGTAAATGAGGACATACATGGTATGTACATTACAATATTTAGAACAAAAAAATTAACCGCTGGAAACTCCAACTTCATGACTGCTTTTATTTGTGTAACTATTACATGCAGTAATGTATGAGGACATAAAATTACAGTACTAAAGTTAGGTGTGGTGGCTCATGTGTCATCCCAGCACTCAGGAGGCATGAAGATTGCTCAGTTTGAGGCCAGCCTGGGCTATATAATGAGACCCTGTCTCAACCACACACAGGACCGGGGATGTAGCTCTGTGGTAGAGGGCTTGCACGGCATATATGAGGTCTTTAGTTCAATCCCCAGTACAGTAAAAACACATGCACACAAAAGCAACCCAAAGAAACCAACAGAAAACAAAACCCCCAATACTGTACAGTAGAAGAAGCTGCCATAAGGCCACACGTTTCTGTAAGTCCGAGCAGCAGGTAGTTAAGTCTGAATCATTAAACAGGTGATTGGTGACCTATGGAGGCACTGAAAATTTCTCCTTTTTAAAGTGGGACTTCCCTTTGCTTCTCTATTGCCTTGTTTGACTCCTGTGTCTTCTATCATCTCCCCATTCTCTGTGGCCACTGACACTGGTCTGTACCTTTCCCCACTGCCTTTTCCCTTAACTTCCTCTTTCCCACTCCCACCCTTCTCATTTTCTGGATGAGTGCAGCACTGCAGGGATGGCTTGGGGTGAAGGGGTGAGAGGTGGCTGGAACAAAATACCTCACAGAACTAGGGAAGGTTTATTTTGGCGCTTTGTTATCAGTAGACTCAGTCCATGGTTGGTTGGCTCCCAGGCAAACAGCATGGCTTGAAAACCATGGTGGAGGGAATCTGCAACACCCCATGCTAGCCAGGGGCAGATGGGAGGGGCCCTGGATGAGAATATACCCTTGTCATGTCCCTTGCGACTAGGCCCCACCTCCAAACACATTTTTGGGCGACATTTTAGATATGACATTCCACTTCTGGCTCTCAGAAGGCTCATGCCCATCTCTTGTAAGGTGCATGTAGTTCATCTCTAAGAGTTTCTAGAGGCTTAACAGTTCCAGCATTGCTAAACAGTCAAGTTCAGTCTCGAGACTGAGGGAAAATTTTTAATTGAGTCTTGAAAATAAAAGTACTTCCACATAAAATGAGGGCAAGCAGAAAGGAATAGGGAGATACAAAGGAGTTGAACCAAAGCAAGGCTGAAACCCAGCAGGGCAAACATTAAATCCTGTGGCTCCACGTCTGGCAGCCAGGGCAGGTGGTGGCAAGCTATGTTCCACAGGGCTCACACAGCCCGCTCCTGTGGCACTGCCAGTTGCCGCCACATAGCTTCTCAGGTTGGCTGTGCTCCCTGCCTGTGGTTTTCCATAGCAGACACTCCACATTCCTGGCATCTTCAGCTTCTAGAGTCTTCACTACACCTTCGGCTTCAGCTTTGTGCACTCCCTTCTCCAGGGTACATTGCTTGGCCATCCAGGCCTTTTCAAATCTGGGTGAAAATCTCCACGACCCCACAATTTATACACTTTGCAGGCCCAGAAAAGCAGCACCATGTTGATGATTTGAAGGTCTGCTGTCAGCTTGAGCAGCTTGGACTATAGCTGCAGAGGCCTTTGAGTGCTTGAATGGTTCAACTTGGAGAAACACTTCTCTGGGTGGGTCTGAAGGAGTATGGTGCCAAGGGGCTTTCAAAGTAGAGGAGTTTGGCCATTTCCTGAGGTCCCTTCAAGGAATCTTTACTATTATCCCAATGCAAAGTACCAAGCTGATTTTTGGTGGTACTGATCTCTTCAGAAATCAACCTAGTTTTTCCCCAACTTTTGGACACCCCCAATTTTTTTTTTGAGAGAGGGTCTTATTATATAGAGCAGGTTGACCTTGAATTTCTGGTGAACCTCCTGCCTCAGCCTCCGAAGTGCTAGGATTTACAGGCCAAAATTTCAAGTTTTTCTGCTCTGGCTTTTGCCCAAATCTAGCAAAAAGCACCAATAGTACTCACACCACAGCCTGAATGTCAATGCTGTCTTGAAACTTTACTCTCCCAGGTTAGTCCACCACCCTTAATCTTAGTTTCCTGCAAAGTCTTAGTAGATGGGCAAAATACAGACAGGTTTGTTGCCAGAATGTAACACACACAGCCTCTAGTCCAGTTTCCAGTAGAGGCCCTGTTCCCAAACTGAAACCTCATGAGCCTGGCCTTTAGTGTCCAAATTTCTATTAACATTCTGGTCTGAGTTCCAACTAGAATCACTCAAGTTCTATTTATAGCATTTATGGTGCTTCTTTAGCATCTCCTAATATTTGCAAACTCCTATAAACCAGTTCCAAAGGCTTCTAAACCACATGCTTAGGTAGTCACAATAATGACTCCACTTCTCTGGTACCAGTTTTCTGTATCAGTCACTTTCCTGTCCTTGGGACAAAATATCCAACACCCACAGCTTAAAGGAGGAAAGGTTTATTTTGGCTCACCGTTTTCAGAGGATTCAGTCCATGGTAAGTTGGTTCCAAGGCAGAAATGGCATGGTAGAGGACTGCTGCTCATCCTATGGCAGCCAGGAAGCTGAGAAGGGAAGGGCTGGGGACAAGAATATACCCTTCTAGGTCACAGGCTTCACTTCTGAACACAAGACTTCGGGGGAACATTTTAAATCTTAAGTCAACAAAGCTGTGGCTAGGGCTGGGATTTAGCTCAGTGGTGCTACCTCCTGCCTCATAAGCACAAGGTCCTGAGTTCGATCCCTGGTACCAAAAAAAGTGGTGGCTATATTAAACCTGGCTGGTGGTTCTCTGGTTATGCCCCAGCAAGTATGATCTGCTTATGACATTTCTGATCTATCACTGGCCTAAAGCTGTTTTTGTAGGACTAAAACAAAACAATCTCTTTTTTCGCTTTTTGAGATAGGGTTTTACTTTGTAGCTCAGGGTAGCCTCAAACTCACGGTCATCCTCTTCCCTCAGCCTCTGGAGTCTGGAGATTACAGGTGCGTATCACCACGCCTGGCAGCAGTCTTCCAAACTCCCTTTTCTACACTGAACAGGCCAGTGGAAAAGAAGGCTATATATTTGACCTCTGTAGGTCAGATAGGTCCTTTTCTTGGTCTTACAGGATCCAATCCCAGCCTCAACTAAATATAAGGTAAAAACCATGTAAATGTAGGATGGAACATTTGAGCTTTGCTAATTTTCTCCAACTGAACATTAAGACTATGGTTACAGGGCCGGGGATTTAGCTCAGTGGTTCTGCTGTATGCCTCGCAAGTGCAAGGTCCTAAGTTTGATTCCCCGTACCAAAAAAAAAAAGTTACACTCCTGGACGCCCCCCCCTTCCCTAGTTAACTATGACATCTATAGCACAAATCAGTTCCCCCGCTCTCCTAGAGCGTGCATGCTGGGTGGGGGAGGGGGAGGGTGTCCTACAGGACCACATAAGACTTTAAATAACTGTACAAAGGACTTATGTGAAGATAGTGATCGAACATAAAGAGGTTTCAGCTTGTGGCTGAGAACTAAAATAGTCTCCTAAGCAATGGGACCCATGGGATCCTGTCATCCCTTGGGTTTAACTGGTGAGTTACTTGGGATTTGAAAAAGTGAAGAACCAACTTACTTGCCTATTTCATCGCCAGGCTGTGTACTAGCTTTGTGTGGTTGATGGTTGGAAGGCCATCAGTGTTGGCCAGGTTTTACAGCCAGACACTGGTTCAGAGGTTCAGAAGCTCAGTGCTGTGTGGCAGTGAGATGCACAGCTGGCATCTGGGGCCAGGCAGCCTATGCAGCCTCTGGCCAGGTCTGCTGGAACATCTGCTCACACACTGCATTCTTTTGAATTCCCAGCTACATAAAGTCAGTATATTTTCCTGAAGAGCAAAGTTAAAAAGCCAAGGTTCCTTCTAGTGTCAGGAGAGCATGGGTGTATATCTAATCTTTCCCACTGTCCTCAGGGAGGAATAGAAATTACAGGTATGTGCCACTGCAACCAGCTAATCATTTTGAATTAGAATTACTGTCCTTTATGGGCTGTTGTAAGGATCAAATATGATAGGGTAAAACACTAAAAACAGCTGTAGCTGTAGCTCAACTATTAACCAAAATTCTCATGCAGTGTTTAAGATTCGGTTCTCTGTATAAGTTTTATTAGGGTTTGGCAGGAAATAGAACATTCGAGAGGGTAACTGAAGAGTTTAACTGGTGAATAAACCTGGGATTAGTAACAGTAAGGTGTTAGGGACAAAGAGAACGGCTAACTGGAACCCAGAAAGAGCCGTGTTCCAATAAAAGCTCTGACCAAAGGTCACAGCTACCACAGGTCAACAGAAAGGGAGCCAGGGAACTAATAATCCTACTTTGTAGCCCTCTTGCCCTGTGCTTTCCTGATAGTACTTCTCACTGGCTGCTTCTGCCCTAGTGCCCAGGGCCAGAGGCCTTGCAGCCATCCAGAGGCCAGTCTCCGGGGGCATGTACAGGGTAGGGCAGAGAAGGAAAAGGGCAGGGTGGGTTGGTCTCCAGCATAGCTACTAAAGCTGGTCTCAGCTATTCTGGCTTCATCTGAGATCTAAGTATAGACTACTACAGTTGTTTGGTGCTATAAGCATCAGGACCTTCGCAGAGACAACATACTATCATATGTTTTTCTACTTAACTGGTAGAGAGACAGGCTTTTAAAAACACTTGGTATAAACATCTCAGAAACTGCAGCTCTGAAATTACAAAGAGCCAGTGAATTTTCTTTGATTCTGAGCCCTTGAATTTGACATTCAAGTCACCATAACAACAAGAGCTGCTATCCTTTATGTTCTGGAAGCTGCCCCAACAAAGGCATGTTAAAGATTTTAAAACCTCTAGCAGGGCTGGGGATTCAGCTCAGTGGCAACGCACCTGCCTTGCAAATGCAAGGTCATGAGTTTGATCCCTGGTACCAAAAAACAAAATAAACTTCTAGAATTAAAAAAAAAAAATCCACCTTTCCTTTCAATGCCTAATAGCAGTAACAAAAACAATCTTTTTGATTGGATATGCTGAAGCCGAGTATGAGACAGCCACATTAATGATTCCAAACTCCAGCCTTAAATCTTTATTCCATAGATTCGCGAGACATGACTTGCCTTTCCTCTCCAACCCCGCTGGCTTTGTCAAGGACAAATGCAATTCTTCCTAAAATCAAGGCACTGACTACTCCAACAGTCTCACTAGTCTCATTGAGCTTCTCCAAGGGGCTTTTGGTTAAAGCACCAGCTTTATTTGAGTTTTTGCCCATCTTTAATCCTTACAAAAGTCTTTTTGTTAAAAAAGGGGTGGTGGTGGTGGTAGGGAACTACTCTGGAGAATTTAACAAGAGAAAGAAATAAATACCTTTTATGAAAAGGACTTTCAAGCTCTCTGAGCCCACCATTTAACTGTAACAACTTTACTGAAGTGCCTCCACTTACAATCCTTAGCACCCTGCTCCTAGCAGCCAGAGGGATGATCTGCAAGCACTGGGCATCGCTTAAAATTCCCTCCTTAGAAATGGAAATAAGCCACTCTTTACTCTCCTCAGCTACAGCCATACTCCTCTGGGCTCCCCCTGCAGAATTAGCTGTAGGAGAAATAGTAAAGGTCCTGCTTGACAGCCATGAGCAGCCCTGGGCTTCCTTGGAAGCCTCCGAGCTGAGAAGAGAAGGCCACGCTGGGAATGTTAGCCTTGGAGGTGGGGTATGGGGAGGGTATGGTTCTGAGCAGGTGGGCATCCTGGAGGCTCCAGATTCTGGTGTAGCAGTCCTGGCCCACTAAGAAAGAGGGAAGACATGCAGCAGGTTAGTGAGAGAAAGCAAAGGAAAAAAGTCTGGACACGGCTCCTCATGATTCTTCTGGGCTAAATGTGATTTTGTGTGAGCCGAAGCACAGTCATATACAAACACCAATAAGTACTTTTCAAAATCCAAATCCTGATTTGCCTTGGTGTTCTAGAATAGCAGTAACTGCAAGTACTCAAAGTGACAGACTGGTTGGCTGGGTGACACCGCAGTGGCCCTGCAGGGGGTTCTGCTTCTTTCAGGGTCAAGGGCTGTTGAAGTGGGAACCTAGCACGCCTGGTCTAGATAACAGGCAACATTCACCAAGATCTCAGGGACAGACCAGATGGCTCCTTCCTGAGCTCTTTCTATTTAAGAAGTTCAAGTTCCTAAGACCAACTAAAGTCTTCGGGGCTTGAAGCTCTGAGCCCTAAACATTGTGACCTATGAGCCCAGGGGTATGGCAGCCTGAACTTCTCACTGAGGCTGAAGCAGGAGGCGGGAAGGCGGGCCCTTGGAGGTCATGGATCTGTTTCACCACTTAAGTGACTCTTAAGTTTATAAGCGCTGCCCTGGTTGGGGTTTACTCATGCAACTGGCAGACTACCTGCACCTGCCGCTCAGTACAACTTGGCTCTTCTGAGGTGCACACTGGCAGAAAATAGATGTAAAAGAAGTGAAGTGTTGATATTGGTGAGAACAGTAAGTTCTAAGAGAGTTCTAACAAGTGATGCTGCTTAGCCACAAAAATGTTTCATGGACAGTAAGCAGCTTTTTGTAAGACATTAGCAAATATGAGGATTCATGAGGACTGAGAACAAGGGCCAGCTGTTTCACATATAAAACACTGACCTTGGTGTTATCACATTACCCAACAGCCCAGAAATAGTTTGATTTGTAATTAATTTGTAATTCTTTTCAAGGGGGCTTAGTAGGTAGAAGCTGGTCCTGTTCTACAGACCATGGGTAGTGTTAAAATGACCAGGAATTGGTTACTTTTCAATGCACTTGATTTCTTTTCTCAGCATCTTCTTGTGGACATGTGAACAGAGAATAGGAATCAAGTTTTTAGACAGGACAGGGTATGATGGGATAATGTGACCTATGTAGAGTCCCCCAAACCCTGGTCCCCTAGCGGCTGTCTTACTGTACAAGAGGGCTGTCCAGCTGCGGCTGTGTACAAACTGTTGCTTACCAATATCCAATTTTATTTCCCCTTGAGTCTCCCTACCCGAGATGCCCACAGTCCCCATTACTTCTGTTTTTGAGCAACTTCTTCCTCTGCCACTTAAACTGCCGGTGCTCTAAGAGATGTGACCAGATGGGTGGAATCTCCTCTTCCCTACGTACCTGCCACCAGGATTCCTTCTTCCTCGTGCACATGCAAGGGCAGGCAGGCATACTCATTCACATGACCTTCGTACTGCCTTATACACTTCATGGCCCTGAGGTCCCACAGCTTGATCTGAGGGAAGGAGCACGGGGTCATTTGGGAGGGGCACATTAGAGAACACCAGGTGTGAAGCCAGAAAGGGCCAGGCAGTCTCCAGTGGCCTCTTTACGTAATGAAGATCTGTACCTCCAACTCTTAAACCCGAGTCCATCAAAATCGTGTAACCAGCACCTCCTTTCAATTCTGACTAGGCTGGATTCAGTTCTTGGGGGCAGCTAAGGAGCTCCCCAGATGGCCTGTGACTTCTTCCTGGCTGATGTATTGGTACAGTTTTCTTCTGCAGAACCCCCTTGCATGGCATGTGTTATGGCTGTGTTTAGAGGTCCCCTCCAAAGCCTCATGGAGTCATAGGTGGGGCTTTTTCTTAGGTGGCTCTGTCTAGAGTGTGTGACTGATTCATGGTGCAAGGCTAGGCTCGGGGGCACTAAGAGTAAGGGTGTGAGTGCTACCCTTCCTAATTAGTCTGAATAAGATAAAAGGGGCAGAAAGACACTGTTAAGGTCTGTTGGTGCTTGCTACTGTCTGTCTGCCATAAACTGTTGCTCCTCTGTCACCATTGGAGCCAGCCAATTATGGACTGAAATTTGTACAAACTAAATTAAATAAAACTTTCCCCTTTAACTCTGAGTGTTGGGTATTTTGTCTTAGCAACAAGCAAAGTAACTAACAGCATACACGGGGTAGAGGAAGTCAGTGTCCCCTACCTTTCCAGCCATGTCAGATGCTATCACTGATCGCTCTTCCTGGAGAATCCTCAAAGAGGTCACTGCTGAATCGTGGAATAGGCGGGTGGCCTTACGGCTCTTGCCTTGACTTCGAGAACGAAGATCAATGGCAAAGATCTCCCCAGAGCGACAGCCATTAAACAGCAAAGGAGTCTGTAGAAAGAGGAACTGCCTGGTACCCCTGAGGCTGGGAAGGGTGTGTCCTCCCCAAAACAACCCTTCTTTGGCCTTGCCAGTCTAGTACAGGGTGCTATGGACTGGCTTGGTGGGAAGGTGAGGCTCAGTGGGCTTAAAGGGACAAGAAGACTTTGTGATGGAGTTGAGCTGGACTCCATGTCTACTCCAGTGTGGGGAGCCCACAGGGGCTTGGAGGCAGCTCATATGCCCTCAGGCCCCTCTCACTGAAGCCAGAGTGACAGCACCCTGTCCCTACCTAAGTCTCCAGTGAGGAGCATGGACTAGGACGGCTGAGATCCCAGGTAGGTGTGGGGTTCTGACCGGAGAAGGAGATGGCTAAAGGAGGTCTGAATGGTCAACTCTTGTCTCCTGCCCGGAATGGTCAGCAGATTCCCCCCTCCAAACTGTGGAAGACAGCATTGTCTACAAGACAAGTCTGAAATACAGTAATGACCAGAATTTATTTATTTATTTAATTTTTTGTTCTGAGGCTCAAACTCAGGACCTTGTGCTTAGAAGGCAGGTGATGGTACCCCTGAGCCTAATTCCTGGCCTCAGAATTTATTTTTATGGATATAAAACCTACAAACTGAGAGCTGTGTACTAGGCTATGGATTAGTATTTTGCATACATATTTTAATTTTTTGTGGAGCTCAGGGATAGAACCCAGGGCCTTGAACATGCTAGGCATATTTTCTAACACATTTTAAACATGATTTGTCCCACTAGCCCAAACTAAAGGACTGCTAAGAATTAATTTAGATAGGAAGTTAGTTAAATTAAGCTCAGACAAGCCTTTCCTTCACTCAGTGCATATTCACATTCTTTCTGTAGTTCTTTTCTCCTTTGTAAGAGGGAAGAGGTCTAAATGCCACATCAGGGAATCCAGTTTCACCCCAGCAAACTTTCTATTACACCTTTCCCAACTCAACCAACCATGATAGCAAACTGCTGGGCCAAGACGTCACTACTGGTCCTGTACGACTGCCGGTGTCCTGTCACCACATTGGTCAACAGGACCCGCCGAGACAAGCCTGGTGGAGAGAGAGAAAGGTCGGTGACACAGGAGTCACTGGCAGTCTGGGGAAGGAACTGCTGGTTGGGGTTTGAAGATCTGAAATCCACTACTCTAGGCATGGGAGAGGCAGCCATGACTCACCAGTACTGAAGCAGGTGTTTGCCTGGATGTTCAGGCACCAAGCACAAGACCAGGCACCGGGGATCCGGAAACTGCAGAGCATGCCACGCCGGTCTACACCTGAGCAGAAGAGAAAATGAACCCTGGCTGACCTTTACGTCTGTAGGCTGCCAGGCCAGTGGCCACCAGATCTGGGAAGCCACTGGGGAAATGGTGAGAGGGCCTGCCACGGTTTGGGTGCATCCCTCAGAATGCACATTTGGAGACAACCCCTGAGTCACGGTTGATGGCATTTGGAAGCGAAGGGCGCTTTGGCAAGTAAGTAGGATTAGATGAGATGGCATCAGTGGATTTATGAGAAGAGGACAGACCCCAGCTTTCAGGCTTGATCTTTTTTTTTCCTGTTTATTTTTTGGTACCTGGGATCAAACTCAGGACCTCACACTTGCTAGGCAGGTGCTGTGCCACTGAGCTAAATCCCTGGCAGTTTCTTTTTTAAAATTTTTAGTCTTAATATAATACAAGTGGGACACACACACACACACACACACACACACACACACACACACACACACAAATATATATATAATACAAATGGATATTACTAAAGAAAATATAAAAGCTGTTCTAAGAAAAAATGTTTTCATAACAAAAATGATTAAAGAACAGCAATGGTAAATACACTGTATCATGATCTAAACAGCACACATTCTCATTTGCTAATCTCTCAGGCTTGATCTATTTCATCATGGATGCCTGCACTGTGTCAGAAGGCAGCAGGGCAGCCCTCACCAGATGCTGGGGCCGTACTCTTGGCCTTCACAGCCTCCGGCACTGTGAGCTCACAATCGTCTCTTCTTTATGAGTCACCCAATCTGTGGTATTTAGTTATAGTGACAGAAAACAGACTAAAACAGGGTCTGTATCTTGGCCCTTTCCTGGGTTTTGTGGTAACAAGAGAGACAGCTAGGTGCCTGGTTCAAAGGGTCGTTCTCATTAACAGTGCAGGTCGTGGAGTGCACAGTACTAGCAGCTGTCAGGAAGGCCATGTGGTGCCACAGAGAAGGTGATTTCAGTCCTGGATCACACTAGCAGCTGTGCAATCTCAAGCAAAACATTTAAAAAATATAAATTTGCACCAATAGAAATCATAAGGATACATACAGTTCCACGAGAAACAGCAAAGTGAATCTAGTCATGTGCCGACCACCCAGGTTAAGATATAAAATATGTCCATCCTCCCTCATGTGCCTCTCCTATTTACTACCTTCACCCCTATTCCTGCCCAAAGGGAACTAACTGCTAGTCCAAGTTTTTTGTTTTTTCCCCCCAGAACCAGGGACTGAACTCAGGACCTTTTTTGGGGGGTGGGGTACTGGGGATTGAACTTGGGCCCTTGCACTTGCAAGGCAGGTGCCGGTACCACTGAGCTAAATCCCTGGCCTTGAACTCAGGACCTTTTGCTTGTGAGGCAGGAGCAGTACCACTGAGCTACATCCCTGGCCCCTTCTGAGTTTTTTTTTTTTTTTTTCCTTCTTCTTTTCTTTTTTTGGTACTGGGGATTGAACTTGGGACCTTACACTTGTGAAGCAGGCAGCGGAACCACTGGGTTAAATCCCCGGCCCCTGAGGTTTTTTTTTAAAATCCTGAGTTCTAACACTGAAAATTAGTTTTGTGAGGCAAATTCTGACCCTCTCTTTTATCTGTTTTTTCATCTGTGAAATTGTGATGAGACATATTTCTGCCTCCTATGTTTATTGTGCAATGAAATGCGAGGCACTGGGCTAAATATGCAGGGCCTCATCTGACTCTGCATGGAACCTGAGCGGGTAGGCACTGTCTTCACTGTCCAGAGGTTAGACAGTTCAAGAGGGTAAGGGGCACATCTGCCACTTCTGCCCCAAACCTGCACTCTTACAGCTGACCCTTGTCTTAGATCCTAAGTCAGGGAGAAACAGTCATACTGACTTCAGCAAGACAGGCTGTATACATATCTCTAGCAGTGCCTGGCATATATGGGTAGTCGGTGCTTAAGGTGTCTTCTGAAAGGTTAGCACAGGCAGCCCAAACCAATATTTTGACATCTCATACAGGTTACACGTACATTCTGAACTCTGCTCTGGCTGCCGACGTGACCCACAAGGGGTAAAAGGAGGAGACATTTCCAGAAGTGCAAATGCACTCAGTACTGACTGTGGGACAGACAGGCTCAGTGTTTCCACAGTGCAGCCCCACCCTGTGCTCCGATCCAGGAGCACCCACCCTCTGGCTCCCACATCTCTCTGGCCCCGCCCACAGCTCCTGAAAGCAGAGGACAGAAACCTTCCTCAGGGCACTGGTTTCTTCTGAGGGGGAAGGACCCCGTACCTGGGTGACTACTGGTGAACAGTGACGCTGGGATCAGAGTGGCACAGCCCGGAGTCTGTGCAAATCCCAAGAGGCACAGCCTGGAAGAAGTAGTTAAGGACAGTCAGGGACAAGGATCTCCTCTGGGAGAAGCATGGACACCAGTACCCTTCAAAAACTTATACAGCACATGAAATAAAGACAGTGAGTAGTGCCGATTGTCCAGCTCTAACATGATTACATTTTCCCATTTAGCCTCAGATTTTCTTGAAGGAAAAAAGTATCACAGATATAGTTAAAAGCCCCCTTAATCCCTCCCCAGTCCAAGTCTCCTCTCTCCCCTACCCAGACAGAAGCTTCTCAAAGTGGTGCGAGTTCTTCTAAGGCCCTGTTGTAATACAAACATATGATGATCTAAAGTACAGTTTATGTTTTTAAAATGCGCAAGAGAGAGCACACAATATCCGCCCCGACTTTCCAATCTCCATTATCTCCTAGATTCGGCTCTGTCAGTCCCAGTCCTGCCCTGTGGCCACACAGCGCAGTTTCTAACTGCACATTCCTTCTTGGCTTATAACTTACCACTTCCGGAGTTCCATCATGGAATGTTCTCCTGTCACCTGATTCTCTGGCTAGAATGGAGGTTTCTCTTAGGCTCTTGGCCTCTCCTTCAAGCCTGAAGCATCGTGCCTTTACCATCGTTGTCTTATGGTCCTACAGCAGCCTCTGATGAAGTCTCACCCTTGCCAGTCTACATC